TTCTGGATCACGGAGTCCGAAGTTTAAGTTTAGTTATTTATTGGCTTTATCTGTCCAGAAAATCTCGGTAGCAACCTAGCGTCGGGAAGTTGGTGGTGTTTCATCACCGTGCCTTGAAAATTAAGTAAAGCCATTGCTCCTGAGCCTGATCTCTCTCGAATCGTGTCATATTGCCGTCCTATTAGACTATGAGAGCGAGTTAATAGAGAAAACGCTAGTGCTTACGCATACATTCGTGCACTACAATTCTGACTTACGCAGCTTGCTAGTTTCCGTTGGGATTTGGCCGCCGTAACTGAAATTCCGTCTATGGGATACAATTGTTATGCGATAAAATGGAAGGTGCACGTGCAGATATTGCCAAAGAGATGGGAAGTTTGAATTCAGTCATTTATTGGCTTTATCTGTCCAGAAAACCTCGGAAGCAACCTAGGGTCAGGAATTGGTGGTGTTTCATCCCTTTGTCTCGAAAATTACGTAAAGCCGTTGTTCCTGAACCGTTGTTTCTCTTGGATCGTGTCGGATTGCCGTTCTATCAGACTATGAGAGTGAGGAAATAGAGAAAACACTTGTGCTTACGCATACACTTCCGTTGAGATTTGGCCGGTGTGACCGAAATTCAGTCCAAAGGATACAATTATTATTTGATTAAAAGGATGGTACACATGCAGGTTGTGTAAAAGAGATGGGCACATTGACAATATTACCTCTCTGAAACTGTAATAATTTGTCATATAAATCAACTATTTGATATGAGCCTCTACCGTTATAGAGAGAATACTCTTTTTGGAAATTGGTGGCAATAGAGCACACAGTTCACCTGGTGGTAATTAGATCTAGTAGACCATAGATTTGTAGACCTTGAAGACTAATATAGAATACCTTGTTTCCAGTAAAGAGGGTTCCTGGTTTTCTACACTCACCACACTATACGAAACACTGCAATAGACTGTTATTTTACGCTGGTATGCTAGATTTTCTAGGCTAAATAATCGTGTTACAACTATAATATAGCTGCAGCGTAGCTGTACTATATAGCCATTGTTGTACGAAAAAGTAGGAGTTAGATTTTTACCACCTCTATTTTAATCCAAAGAAAAAATGCTCCATTATATTAAACTAAATTCGTCGCCCGAATATTCTTATAATCATTTCTTACTGTGACTTAACTGGCAGTACCTAAAACATAGTTATTATATACTCCTTGGTAGTAACGATCAGTAGCCAAAACATGACATTTGCTTCAACGTTCAATTTATTGCGTCCTTTCAAGCTATTACACTAATTTAGTTCACATCATATAGGCGATTTCGCCAGCAATTGTGTAATCACCCATTGTTGGAAGTACTACTCGACTGGATCGGTTTAATTAATGAAACGTCTTGCAATTTCGTGCGTTATTTCGGATCAATTAAGCTAATACAATCCTTGTATTAAACAAATAGCTTCCTTAATTTATTTTATTTAGACCCATTTTTCAATCTTTAGATAAAAGTTACTCTTAAAATAAAATACAACGTAAAATAATTGTTTCACATTTATATAGTCAGGTTATAGTTTATTAGATGGATAACTTTTATCTGACGATTCAAAAATCGCCCTCAATTGAATGAAGCAATTTAAAAAATTAACAAAATTGTTATCATCGCTACTTAAATAAAAAAACGACATCTTATCATAGTTCGCATGTATCAACTTTACCGTGCATAGGCGGCGTAAGCAAGTAACATTCGCTACCGTACATCATCCCGTGTGGTGAAACAGGATATGGACAGCAGCACCAGCCTGATAACAGCTCAAAATAATAATATGCGGTTGCCAACCCAACTGCCAAATGGGCATGGCTAATATCTCGCCCTATGTGGCAAACTATGAATAAAGAGTACTATTCTCAGTAGTGAAGTTTAACAGTCTGAGTGAGTAAATAAAATACTATAATTTTTTTTAATAATAATTATCATAATTTAATAAAAATATAAAATATGAGTTTGGGTATATACATATAACATTTAAATCTTTATGAAAACATACCCTTAATGGAATTAAACAAACGAGCACACAGTCCACACATACCAAGGAGATGTTGAGGACCATAGATGTCTACATTTATCCACAATGAAGAAACAAAATGCTGATGCGCTGCCACCACTGAGGTCTTTTATGCAGTAAAAAGGCTCTCCGGTTCTCTACACTATCCATACGGAACACAGCAGCATTACGCCGCGATTTTACGCTTGTATTCTGTGAGAGTGTAGGGGTGGTCCCACCTCGGTCGGTAAAAAGACGTAATCAGTATCAAAGCAAAACCTGGCAGAACGAGTTCGGTGCATCATGCGCTCGAAAATATTTCTTTTATTATAATAAGGGTGATAAACGAGAACATAGTTCACCTAATGGTAAGTGGATGCTGTGGCCCATAGACATCTACATTTAACCTCGATTAAGAATCAAAATGCAAATGCTCTGTCAAATGAAAGGAAGAAGATTCGGCAATATACCGCGAGGTTAACCGAGGTTCTACGAAGCTTTTCATGAGCCTTTTGAATGGGGAAACCGAGAGTTTTGTTTGTGCAATACATAATCAGGCTATTAAGACCAACAACTATTGGAGATAAAGGATCCTAATCTTAAAGGATGGCACTGCCGACATCTGTCGAGCTTGTCGCCATTCCGGTAAGTAACTTAGGCATGTCATCGCTGGTTGTTTTCTCGCTCTGAGTACTTGCACATGCACAACCTAGTAGCAAGGATTCTACATCAGGAGCTCGATCTCAAATACGGAGTTGTGGATCGCATAATATCTTATAATAAGTACTTTTAGAAAGTCGTGCTCTCGATGTGTGTGTGAATGAGTGCCAGGCTCTACTATTCGGACTATTCTTGCGAATAAGCCCGACATTGTGCTGATGGGCCGGGCACAGTCAAGGATAATTTTGGTTGAAATTACCATCCCGTATGAGGAAAACCTCGTGAAAGCCGAAGCAGATAAGAAAACAAAGTAATAATAACAATAATAATAAGCCGAAACAGATAAGCAATCAAATTTCTGGACCTGGCTCACGAGGTGACCGACATGTAGGGGTGGTCTGCCGACCGAAATTATTCCTGTAGTCGTCTCTGCGAATGGGCTAATCCCAGTTAGCCTCTCTGGTCATCTGAGGCGACTGGGACTCCGTGACGGACCGCTCAGGGCACAAATGCAGAAGGCGGTGATGTTTGATACTGCCCGCATCGTCCGCCGGTTTCTTTCCCTTTCCCCCTAACCCTCGGCCGTTTGGTCTCCCCTGCCGAGGGCTTCCATCTGGTTGGGCTTTTATATATTTATGTATTTTTGTATTTATTTTATTTTATTGATATTTATGTATAATTATCCTTTCATTTTCATTTATAATTATATATTTATAGATCCCAATCAGATGAGAAAACTATATGGATACCCCCCCCATAATAATAATAATAATAAATGATCAGTATTGCAGACAGAGAAGACTTGAAATTAATACAATGGAAAAAAAAGTTTTGCATGGTAGACATCCCTATGACTTAGGTCAAGCACATGTAGATTCGGAGGCATAGAATAGGTGGCTTGTATGCGGTTACTTATTCCTTGAAACCGAAGGCTTCATGATGGCAATACAGGATCAAGTCATTAATACGAAAAATTATCAAAAATATATAATTAAAGATCCTACAATAGCAGATGATAAATGTCGAAAATGTCATAAACAGCCCGAGACCATTCAGCATATTACAGGAGCTTGCCCAACACTCACGCAGACAGATTACACACACAGACACAACCAGATAGTAAATATAATACACCAAAAATTAGCAATCAAACACAAACTAATCCCAGACACACATACGCCATATTACAAATACACACCAACGGCCGTACTTGAAAATATAAATTTTAAAATGTACTACGACCGTGCTATTCTGACAGACAAAACCATCCATTATAATAGACCTGATATTACGCTCCAAGATAAAATAAATAAAACAGTATATATCATTGATATAGCCGTACCGCGTAATACGCATAATTTAATTAAAACTATTACCGAATAAATAAATAAATACACAGAACTGAAAGAAGAAATAACAAAAATGTGGAAGATGAAAAAGTTTTTATAATACCCATAGTACTTTCTACCACCGGAATAATCCCGAAGCACTTACATCATAGTTTGAAAATGCTAGACATATCACCGAACTCATACATTAATATACAAAAAGCAGCAATCTTAAATACATGTCGCATCGTTCGAAAATTCATGCAGGATGACAGTAATGTAGCTTATATTACACTGACCGTTACTTGGTTTCAACCCGTAATCTCCATTTATTTACCAGCTTATAGCTGAGAAAAAAAAATATATGGTAGTTTCTTTCCCTTTCCTCCTAACCCTCGGCCGTTTGGTCTCCCCTGCCAAGGGCTTCCATCTGGTTGGGCTTTTATTTATTTATGTATTTTTGTAATTATTTTATTTTAATATATTTATGTATATTTATCTTTTCATTTTAATTTATAATTATATATTTATAGAATCCAACCAGATGAGAAAACTATATAGATACCCCATAAAATAATAATAATAATAATAACAAAATTGAAGGTACAAAGACCCGCTTGTGCATATGGCCCACCATGCAACGGCGCCGGGTCTAGGCGTCTCCCGTTAAAAGACGCCCACAAAAATGGATGATGGATTTGACTAGAATGCGCAAAGGGCCGCTGCCTGGAGGACGCCAGGGCGCGTCTGCAGCTGGCGCTTGACGCGACAGCATGCGAACCGCCAGCCAACGAGCGCGAGGTGCTTCACGACCACCCAGCAGCCCCTCGCATCCATCATCCCCACCAGCTGGCTTGGTGTCGGCAGGGTCTTCGCGGGCCCAGCAATCGGCACCCGCCACTGGTGGAGCACGCCGCATGCGTTGGACAACTCAAATGAACAGCAACGCATTGCGTGCGTATTTTAGGGCGAAAGAGGGAGAAATTGGAGGTTTTGCGTATCGGGCAAGGATGCATCGACTTTTTGCTGAGCTGGAGGCCATCTGTAACAGTCACCGAGCAAAACCTGGCAGACCGAGTTCGGTATATCTTGCGCTCAAATACATTTGATGTCACCGAACTCGAACGGCTACGACGTGAGGCTGTTCCTTCATCGGATAAAAATGCTACGGCTGAGGATGCGGCGCCACAACTTGCACAGCAACCGGCAAGCGTGTATGTCGCCGTGAATACCCCAGTTTTGGTTGATTCAAACGATGATGGAACAGTCGCCCAGGAACTGGAACTGGAGCAAATGGGGAGTACATTGGATGAGGCGATTTTGGGAACGCGCAGTACGCCTCTCGAAAATTGACCGCGACTTCCCCGCATAGCCCTCAGCAAGCGGACGGACAAATCAGGCTATCGTGAGGGCTCTGAACCCAATGCTAGTGACCTATTTGGAAGGCAGCCGGGACCTTTGCGAGACGGACTCAATTCTCTTTGGCGCCGCACTGGCAGTCTGCCGTATTATAGGCGCCAAACTTTCCACGGCTGGACGCACTACTGGACAAAGTAGTGCTATCCCAGCCTGGAAAGCAAGAATTGAAGAACGTATCGCAAAGGCTAGGGCCCTCATCGGCAGACTGATATGCTTCAGGTCAGGCAATACCAGGCCAAGGATTGTGCGCACCGTCAGGATGGCGTTTGCTGGGATAAAACAGCAAAAACTGACGGAGCGCATAGACGACTTGAAGCAGAGAATCGCTGCTTGGGGAATGCGGGTTCGGCGATATACCGAGAGGTCGACACGTTTCAACCAGAATCATCTCTTCCAAAGTGATCAGAAGAGGCTCTATAAATCATTGGAGCGACCAATGGTAAGTGGAAGGGGCCCAGTACCGAATCAGGCCGACACGGTCGAATTCTGGCGCAGCCTGTGGTCAGAGCCCGTAAACCACAACGAGGGCCCTTGGACGGAAGTTGTGGCGAGTCAGTGTGCGGGTATTACGCCCATGGACCCCGTCATCATAACGCCGGATGACGTACCTCTAGAGGTTATGTCTTAAGCTGTTCCAAGAGTTGCTCGCCCGACAGTTCCAAGAGTTCAACCAGAAGTCGCTCCCGAGCCTCTTCACTACTGGGATCATTCATTTGGTTCCTAAAGATAAGGTTGCTACAGACCCGAGCAAATACCGCCCCATCCAACATTGTGTCTACCGACCATATACAAGATCACTGAACATCCAACTTTTGAGCTATGGGCGAGAATATCTCGTCACCTGGACTCAAATCAGATGACGTCGCGCGCTCATAATGGATAGAAGTTCAGGAGCGACGGTCGTAAAACCAATCTGGGTGAACCTTACTCCTCATTGACGCGGTCATTGGCAAAGTGTGAAACGCAACCATCGGAACTTTGGATGACCTCAAATTATTCGCCTCCAGTCGCTCCCATCTTATGGAATTGCTAAACATGACTTGTGAATTTAGCAATTCTATTAGAATGGAGCTGTGGACGGATAAGTGTGCGGTCCTCCATGTTGAAAGGGGAAGGTTTGCTAAATCTGACGGCATAGACTTATCTATGCCCGTCAACTTAAGGACCCTTTCCGAGGCTGAAACATACCGATACTTGGGTATGTCACAGAACGTCGGTATCGATGAGGCTGGTATGAAGTAGTCAGTTTGCGACGTGTTTTATTCACGCTTGACCAAAGTGCTTAACAGCCTTTTGTCCGGTGTGAATAAGACACACGCATATAACGGCTCGGTCATGCCTGTCCTCATGTATACCTTTGGCATACTCAGGTGGAGTCAGACTGAACTAAATGCCCTGGATAGAAAAGTCCGCACTACAATGACGTCCCATAGGATGCATCATCCGAGATCGTCGGTAATGAGGCTGTACTTGCCGCGAAAGCATGGTGGGCGTAGGTTCTTGAGCGCGCTCACCATGCATAATCGCAAAGTGTGCAGCCTCCGTCATTACTTCCTGGCGGGATGCGATGATCCATTCTATAATGACGGCATTTCTAGTGATATCCTTTATCCAACGAGCAATGGCAGGATCCGGCAGTACAGAGCATTTCCGACCGAGAGACCATATGGAAGGGAAGGAGCTCCACGGGAGGTACTACAGGGCTCTACATGAGCCCCACGTAGATACAGCCGCCTCCCTCAACTGGCTACGTTTCGGTGTCCTCTTCGGGGGAAACCGAGGGTTTTGTCTGTGCAATACAGGATCAGATTATTAAGACCAACAACTATCGGAGATACATCCTAAAGGATGGCACTGTCGACGTCTGTCGAGCTTGTCGCCATCCCGGGGAAGTCACTTAGGCATGTCATCTCCGGTTGTTCGGCGCTTTCTGACTCTGAGTACTTGCACATGCACAACCTATTAGCCAGAATTCTACACCAGAAGCTCGCTCTGAAAAACGGTCTCGTGGACCGGAAATTGCCGTATTACAAGTACTTGCCGGAAGCCGTGCTCAAAAATGACCGCGCCAGGCTCTACTGGGACCGGGCCATCATCACGGACCGGACTATTCTTGCGAATAAGCCTGATATTGCGCTGATGGACCGGGCAAAGTCAAGGATATTTTTGGTCGACATTACCATTCCGTATGACGAGAACCTCGTGAAAGCCGAAACAGATAAACGAACATAATATCTGGATCTGGCTCACGAGGTGACCGATATGTGAGGTGGTATGAGGGCCAAAATTATTCCTGTAGTCGTCTCTGCGAATGGGCTAATCCCAGTCAGCCTCTCGGGTCATCTGAGGCGACTGGGACTCCGTGACGGACCGCTCCGGGCTCAAATGCAGAAGGCGGTGCTCCTTGATACCGCCCGCATCGTCCGCCGGTTTCTTTCCCTTTCCTCCTAACCCACGGCCGTTTGGTCTCCCCTGCCGAGGGCTACCATCTGGTTGGGCTTTTACTTATTTATGTATTACTGTATTTATTTTAATTATATTTATGTATATTTATCTTTTCATTTTAATTTATAATTATATATTTATAGAACCCAACCATATGAGAAAACTAATAGATACGCCATAAAATAATAATAATATAGTCACATATCAAGGAAACATTCCAATTAATCCATCTTGTATTTTCTAAAAAATCATTTTATATTGCTTCTATGAAAAAGAACGCATTAAAAAAAATTTAAGTAGACATCCGGATGTTAGTTTTGTATGTGGTCAGGATGACTCCCAAGAAAAATTGACTTATCGAAACGGGTTTTTATGAACTTCAAAATTACACGCGCAGTTTGTTATGTTTAGTATTTGTTAGTAGTAGCGTATAAGTTTTATTGCTATTAAAATTTTAAAGGCGCTTTCATTTTCTTAGCCCTTAATAGATAAAGGACAAATGCACCATATAGCCTATATCGATTTTAAATGTATTCGATTTATTTTGATAAATATTTGTTTTTCCCTGTAGGTGACATTACCTTCAAAATAAAGGAGCGCTTAATTTAAAATATGTAAAAGCTTGCATTAGATTTCCCAAACTTATTTATATATTATTTATATAGATTATATGCGTGCGTTGAACGGTTTTAATTGAAAAGGTGATGTACTTTGTTTTTGCAACATTTAGGGTTGGAATGCTCTTGTATAACCAACTATTTACAGTATTGATTCCTCTCTGAGCATTTGAGAATACTTCATTTCATGAGTTACCACTGAAAAGGAAGGCCGTGTCCGTCTGCGAAGGTAATAATTATTATAATAATAAAAATTGTAGTAGGGATGTGTCGCACTATAGATGCTGCTCTCGGTTCTGGTTTATTTTACATCCTGATGAGGCCTGTATACAGGTGTGGGATGCATATTGAATGTAACTTAACTTTTTAAATTATATATAAGATGGTATATCGCTATTCGTCATAAGTTACGAGTTTTTCTGAATTTTTTAAAGCTTTTACATTCTTTTTGCTCTGCCATGACGCCGTTATTTTATATAATAAAAAAAATTAAAATCATCATCATCACTACAGCACTTCACATGATCACAAGCTAAACATAGACTTCTCTCACGGAATGCCATTAAGCGCAGTAATTAACCGTCTCCATCTATTGACTTCCTGCATTTCTTACCTCTCTTAATTAATATAACATAACGTATTTCGTTTGTAAAACAAAAGCTTAGATGGGAACAACAAACTTTAATTTATCGAGCCCATAACGAGGCGGTGAGGGTATTAAGCCGAGTTCTACCTGGCTCATTTTGCATTTTGCTCTAATCGCGAGTAAATTAGTAAGGTAAATTTTCGTTTTCACAGTAAAGACCAGTCATCAATAAAATTAAAACGACTAACAATCGAGCCAACAATGTGGATACATTTAAAACATTTATGACATCATTTTTAACTTCTTTATTATGAACTCGTAAAAATCCACTGCCTGATAAGGGCCTGTCTCGATGTTGGGAAAATATGCCTTTTAGCAGGTGAATTCACTATTGCAGCGCAGACGTCTCACACCTTTTTCTCTTGGCTAAGCCAGACTGCAGTTATAATATTGTGGTGGTAACACGTATGCAATGGGCCGGCCATATAGCTCGAAGAACCTACAACTGTTGGGGAAAAAAGGTTCTCGAGTTTGCAGCCTCGTAACGGTAGGCGAAGTGTTGGGCGACCCCCCACTAGATAGAGTGACGACCTGGTAAGACATGCAGGAAGTCGATGGATGCAGGTGGCTCAGGAAAGTGCTTTGTGGCATACCTTGGGGGAGGCCTATGTTCAGCAGTGGACTTGTGAAGGGCTGTAATGATGATGATGATGAACACGAATGAGTCGGTTCAAACAGCAGCTTAATGCAGTTTTTTTTCATATGGTGAGTGTAGAGAACCGAAAACGTTTATTAGTGGAGGAGAGGTTCATTAAGGGGCATTACGCCTTAGTCCTCAGCGGTGACCACGGATCTGTATTTTGATTTTTATTTGAATGAATTCTTATCATCTGCTAGATTTTGTGATCGTTTGTCATCCTTACCTTTTAAAAGTAAATCCTAACGTTACTTATTATTATTATTATTATTAAAGGTTACAACGCCTTCTGTTTTTAACAAGGAGAACTTTCTGGCATTTATAACAATCGGCACTATAACAGCTACGAGAAGAAATGAGTCACACCGATTGAACCTTTACTATGAGGGTTACAATGATTGTATTTTTCAAACAAACTGAACAAATTTTTTTAGCTTTTTCGAAGTTGTAATGTGTAACATTTTAAAGACCTTATTACAACGGCACCTCAACGTTTTGACATCCATAGAGTCTACTTAAGAAAAACCATTTCTGTATAACTGATTTGACAAACAAACCTACATTCCACTTAACTCTAAGTGGCTACTGCAACCAAAAGGCTATAGATGTGTTCTCACCTCTGAGATTAAGGTGGAATGCCTCACAGCATGTAATTGTACTGGCTCTATATTCCCTTCAGATCGGAAAACAGAAGTGTGAGTGCAAGCACTTTTATTTCATCAAAAAAGGTAAGAGGGTGGTAAGTACACAGGTAAACTCCTAGGCAGAAGTGGAGGTTAGTTAAATTTTTCGCCTCGTATATTTGGAAAAGAAATTATAGTTTCTATATGACCTTTTAAGTGAGAGAAAGAGAAGAACGGAGTAGAAGTCTATGACACTGATATTTTACTAAAAATAAAACAAAAATTTTGAAAAATAAAATTCAAACCTTTTCACTCAAAACACGTTTTCAAAGTATTCCTTCCATCTATTTAAACTCAAAACTTCGTTATTTAGCGTACAGCCATTCTCGTCTCGTATAGAATTCATTCTAAGCTGTTTTAAATTTCCCTTGGTAGTTCTTATGAGTTTCCAGAACATTTTAATATTTGTCTGAAATTTATAAGATATCCTTCTATCATTCTTATCCATTCTTTCTTGCTTTGTCCTTTCAACTACATCTATTACTCTCTTATTTAGACGTCTAAAGTCTGCCTTTTTTCTGTCAATTTCATCATTCATACTGTCAGATTTACTAGCTATGGTAGCTATTAAATTTAGCCATGCTCTCTTCTTTGCTTCAA